GGCAATATGCTGACTCTCTGTAAACCGCTTAGAGAGGCCTGAAAGGCCTATGAAGCGGTATATAAGTCTACTGCTATTGCTATTGCTATTACTTCTTTAGAAAAAGACAAGGAGGCAACAACTAAAGCAACCGACAATATCGAGGACAGATGCTTTTTATAGTGAATGGATGTGAAGGAATGAGACATAAAACTGGATATTCTATCAAGCGACTGAACAGTGATGTAAACTCATGGAATAAAAACAATTAAAAACCATTTTAATTCAACAGTAAAAACTCACACTGTGACGGTAGAAAGGATCTACTTTTGTAGGGTATTTGTCAAACTGTAAAAGGATTGAAATACAAACTCATTACATTACATGTGTCGGGAGAGGGGGGAGGAGAGGATAACACACATTTTTTTTTTCATTTCGTGAAGTTTGGAATGCTCCCTTTTTAAAAAGTCCCTATCAGTTTTCATAGATGTTTTATAGATATCGATGGAGGTTAGAAGGATAATAAACTCAAGATTGTAGCCACAACCACAGTATCAAAGACCCATCTTTTTAATGTGTATTTCATGAAGCACATTAAAAAAAAAAAAAGAACAGGGCTTCAATTGCAAGTTGTGGTCGCTGTCTTGATTATTATTATTTGTGATGCTTCACACACAAACAAATTCAACTTAAGATGCCTCAATATAAATCACAGCAGAAAACTTTAACACACACACACACCCCCTGGAAGTTAAGAAAGATCAGGAATCAGCAGTCATAAAGCAAAATAGATCGAGAAAAACACAGGTAGCAAAATTTCAAGTATTAAATAAAACAAGCAAAGATTAGACATTCTGTTGCTCTGGCACCTTAACCTTTCATCCCTCATTCATCATTTTAAAGCATCTTCACTTTTTGCTGGATTTGGTTTAGGGAGACGAGTAGGATTTCTAATAATAATAATAAAACTAATACTAACAATAATAGTAGTACTGGTAGTAGTAGTAATTGTAGTGATAATAGTACTAGTAGAGATAATCCTCGACTTACAATAGTTCATTTAGTGACCATTCAAAGTTACAACAGCACTGAAAAAAGTGGCTTGTGACTCTTTTTTTACACTTAAGTCTGTTGCAGCATCCCCATAATCATGTGATCAAAATTCAGATGCTTGACAACTGACTCAGATTTATGACAGTTGCAATTTTCCGGGGTCACGTGATCCCCTTTTGAGACTCTCTGACAAGCAAAGTCAATAGGGAAGCCAGATTCACTCAACAACCGTTACTAATTTATCAACCGCAGTGATCCACTTAACAACTGTGGCGAAAACGGTTGTAAAATGGGGCAAAATTCTCTTAAGAGCAAAAAAAATTGGGTTCAATTGTGGTCGTAAGTCGAGGACTACCTGTAGTAATGATGGTGATATTCAAAATACTACCCAGCCTGCTAACATTTACCTCACATTTCTACCTCAGATATGTATAAAGTAATAGAATGGAAAATGGAAAACCCAAAATCAGAAAAAAGAAATACCGATAACAGAAAGCTGTAAAAGTGTAATAGTGATTTTAATGTTTGGAAAATGTCAAATAAATAATAATAATTTAAAAAAAATGCTCCCCAGCCTGCTAACATTTACCTCACATTTCTACCTCACATTTCTCAGTCATCTCTGTGATAGTTCTAATTTTGTTAACACTTACCCAAATGGAGTTTCTGATCAAAGTGACCAAGATTATTTATATTAATTTAAATTTAATAATCCATAATTTAAATTTAACAATTTATTAAATACGTACACTGCCTGACTCTCGACAATAGAATGATAGAGATAGACATAGAGATAGTTTAGGCCAGTGGTTCCCAAACTTGGCAACTTTAAGACTTGTGGACTTCAACTCCCAGAATTCTCCAGCCAGCTCTGCTCTGCTGGCTGGAGAATTC